TGGGAGAGGGGAGTTCTGTGGGTGGGAGGGAAGTTATGGGGGGGGGGAGCTATTGTAATCCATAAGCTGTACTTTGGAAATTTATGTTCATTAAATAAAGTTTTTAAAAAAAGATAATAGGCAGAGGGGTTGGCGCCATGGCTCACTAGGCTAATCCTCCGCCTGCGGCCCCGGCACCCCAGGTTCTAGTCCCGGTTGGGGCACCGGATTCTGTCCCGGTTGCCCCTCTTCCAGGCCAGCTCTCTGCTATGGCCCAGGAGTGCAGTGGAGGATGGCCCAAGTGCTTGGGCCCTGCACCCCATGGGAGACCAGGAGAAGCACCTGGCTCCTGGCTTCGGATCAGCGCAGTGCGCCGGATGCAGTGCGCCAGCCGTGGCGGCCATTGGAGGGTGAGCCAACGGCAAAAGGAAGACCTTTCGCTCTGTCTCTCTCTCTCACTGTCCACTCTGCCTGTCAAAAAAGAAAAAAAAAAAGAGATACCTGCACTCTCATGTTTATAGTAGCTCAGTTCACAACGGCAAAGATATGGAATCAGCTTAGATTTCCATCAGCTGATGACTGGACAAAGAAAATGTGGTATATAAACCTGATGGAATACTACACAGCCACAAAAAAGAATGATATCGAGACATTTGCAACAAAATGTATGGAAACGGAGACCATTATGCTAAGTGAAATAAGCCTGACCTAGAAAGACAAATGTCACATGTTTTCTCTCATTTGTAGAAGTTAATAGAGAGAATATAAAAATTATATGGGTGTCATATCATTGGCTATTTATTTATAAATAGTTTCAATTAATCACACTATATAAATGACAATATACCTTTCTTCCCCCCAATTTATGATCACAAACTCCTTGCACTGTGATTTAATATCTCACATTTCAAGAAAAATAGTCAATATGTATATCATATCTACACTGGAAATGAATGTGACCATATGTTTTTTAAAAGTAAAAGAAAGATGAGCTTTTCTTAACCTCCCAGCTGATTCCATACTCACATGAAAGCTGGAACCAAAGTCCCTGCTTCTGATGAGTCCCCAACTCACATGCATGCAAATTTTAAAAGAAGAGGAATTAAAGCAGATCAGAAAATAAGACAACCTAAGTTAACCAAAGGAGATAATTGGATAATGCTGAAAAAAAACACTCCATAGAAACAAAACAGATTATTTAAGTGGATTTATAACCAAATGAGCTCCAGATGTACCTTTTAATCTAATTCTCCACAGGTGTTTTTCTGCTTAATAAATTAACATCCAAGTTGGAATATTGCTGAAGCACTGAATCACCTGAATTTTGGCTATGAGCTTTTCTGCTGTTAACTATTTTGAGCTATTTCTCAATCAGGCAGCCACTACTGAAACCCTAAGTGCATGGGCTTGGCAGAGCCAGAAAGAAAAAGTGCAGTCCACAGATTTCTCTTCTGTTTTCCCAAAACAGAATCTTATAAAAAAAAATGTCCTCGAATTTTGCCACTATGTAGCTGTCAGAAAGAGCCATTCTGCTCCTCTTCATAACTCTGAACAGTAAACTCATTTCTCGTGCTACTGGGAAGTTATACAGCTCCAGGAAGTGTAGAGACACCATCACAACTGTCCAAACTGTATCCAGGCAGAATAATCAGTCAATCAGAAATGCCAGTCTTGGTCGGATGGAAGTTTTCTGAGCCAACTTGGACAAGTACACAGGACAAGTTTGACTTTACTGCCAAGATCACTTCCAGGACATTGGCTAATTAATTATAAAAGCTTTTTGAAAACAAATTTGAGACTGGCAATCTTTTTTTCCTATCCAAACAGAAAAAAAAGTTTAAAAAAATAAAAAGTTTGAGTCTATTGTGCTAAAACAGGTCAAAAAAATAAAAACCTAGATTTACCATAGCTTCATTTTATGTACAAGTTCTTTTTTTTCTCCCCTCTCTCACCCTAAAATGATCCAGGAGTTTTTGTATTTGAAGCAATCAAAACAGTTGCTATAGAAATTAGAAACATCAGTTTGAATTCCTACTCTACCTATTTAGTTACAAAGCTTTCTTCAAACTCTTTGGTAGGAAGTGGAAAATGGGGTTTCTTCCACTTCTGCAGAGGAAGAACTTAGTGTATTAACCATGGCTACTGTAATAGGTACAATTAAGAGGCACAGCTCCTTTAATGGTGACATATTTGTCAACCTTTATTTACTGCCTTTGAAAGCCAAAGGAACATAACCCTGGAATTAAATATTCCCGACTTCATCTGAACATGAAACTTGGATGACTACAAAATTCTAGTGATGGGCATTTGAAGGATCTAATTTTAAGGATTCCAATCACACATGCTTGATGGAAAATTCAACATCCCAAAATCCTAATGCACCAACATATGTTTTCTGCTCTTGGGGTCAAAATTGCATGCAATACACATTTTAAGTCATCAAACTTCCGCATATTCCCAGATGTAAAGTGATTTAAGAAAGTTAAGACATTTCTTTCACCCAGCATTTACCAGATGCTTATCAACAAATTCCTGGACAGAGGAGAGCTCTCCCTAATAAAAGAAGCCTTCCTTGGGGCCGGCGCTGTGGCACAGCAGGTTAAAGCCCTAGCCTGAAGCACTGGCATCCCATATGGGTGCTGGTTCTAGTCCCAGCTGCTCATCTTCTGATCCAGCTCTCTGCTATGGCCTGGGACAGCAGTAGAAGATGGCCCAAGTCTTTGGGGCCCTGCACCCATGTGAGAGACCCAGAAGAAGCTCCTAGCTCCTGGCTTTGGATCGGCACAGCTCCAGCCGTTGCGACCATCTGGGGAGTGAACCAGTGGATGGAAGACCTTTCTCTCTGTCTCTGTCTCTGTCTCTGTCTCTCTCTGTAACTCTGTCTTTCAAATAAATAAAATAAATCTTGGGGAAAAAGAAAGAAGGTTTCCTCAAAAAGTCTGTCAATCAGGGATGGGTACTGGGGAAGCCACCACTCTAGACACCTGAACCCCATATCAGAGTGACTGAGTTGAAATCCCACCTCCACTTCCAGTCCAGCTTCCTGCTCATGCACTCCCTGGGAAACATCAGATGATGACTGAAGCAGTTGGGTCCCTGCCAACCATGTGGCCACCCCAGTGGAGTTAAGTACAGTTATGGGCTCCTGGCTTCTATCTGGTCAAGCCCTGGCTATTACAAGCATCTGGGGCATGAACCAGAAGTTCGGAGGTCTCTGTCTGTGTGTCTCTCTGTTCTGTCTTACAAGTAAATAACTTCAAAAAATATGTCAATCAGATATTCCTAACAATAGTCAGCATCTCTTATCCAACATCAAGACTCCTGGCAAACCACATGAGTAATCAGTATTGCTCAGTAAGTACTGAATGGAGCCAAAATGTGCAAGGAAGCTTTGAGGAAAATTCCAGTGGCCCAGGCTCTCCCGTTTCCACTATCAATATGCATCTTCCAACATATGCATTAGTTAAATGATCTTCTCCTGGATAGTTCCGAGCAGTAGGTAGATGGGAGGGAGGAGAATAACACACATTGGCACTTGAAGGAAGGGCCACTCATGTAGTCCAGGATTAATCTCAGTGTAAAAGGGAAGGGAAGTCATTAGTTGTGATCAAACCAATGAGTCTCACTTTTGGGGAACACAATAAATTAATGAAGATAAGAAGGATAACATTGGATTTCAGAGGATCTTAAAAGTCATATAGGGATTTCTGAAGCCAGCTTGATAAGACGCCATTATAAACTTTTAATCCAGAGTAGAAAATGAGAGCATTAAAAGGAAAAGCATATTTAACTGAAAGAAAAAAAAAGGATAAGAATATTGTTCCAAAATCTTTTCTATCTATTTGGATCTGAGATGATAAGGGTCCTGAGGGTGGTACTGTTGAGAAAGAGAAAGAAGAAATAATTCAAGAGCCACTTCACAGGAAACAATGTCATTTCACCTTTCCTGTACTTTTTAGAACTCACCAAAGTCTATAAAATCCAGTCACTACAAGAAAAGCTACCAGTTAAAGAGCAGCAGTTAAATTACAAAGTATGAAAAGAGAAATCTTCAAAGTAGAGAGAAATCTACTTAAGAGGTAGGGAGAAAGAATAAGGTCATATAAATGATATATATACAATCAGCATGCTAACCATGATGCCAACCAGAATCATACTCTTCTATGACATCAAAGGACAAAAAGTAAGTTGTAAGAGCAAGAATCAGACACTTGGTTTTCTGAGGTTTTGCATTACTGTTTCTATTTTACAGAAAAATGGTGTCCATACCACACTGCTGGTCAGTTTTGAAATAAGCGTAGTGGCCAGATTTTCCTGCTTCATAGTCCTAGCTCTTTCCAACATACTACAATCCTGGGGAAATAAGCTAGGATTTCTGTCATTTTAAATATCTGTGACCTTATTTTTTGAAACTGTGAGAGGTTGTTTTCATTTGGGAAGCTTCCTTTTATAAGTGTCATTATACCATATTCTTGAAATATAATCTCCTTCCACGGATATTCAACCAAGAAGATGTCCTAGTTTGCTCTATATTCTTTTTAAAACAGAGAAAAAAGAAATTCAAAATGTGGTTGCTCTTCATTTCAAACAGGCTACTATGTTATAAGAGAAAAATATAGGCAAGTGAGATAATTATTACTTTTGCTTTATGAATGCCCCATAGTTAACAACTGCAAGCATTTCTTGGCCCTACTGTAGTTTACTAAAACATTATCTTCATAAATTATCTCATTTAACCTCCACAATAAACCTGAGGTCATTGCTATTTTAAAGCTGAGACAATTGGAGCTCCAAGATTTAAGTTGTCCCAGTGATTGTGCATCTGTATGGGCTGAAGTCAAGACCTAAATTCTCCTCTAAGTCCAGATCCATGCATATTTTGCTCCCCACCCTTGGCGAAAGTGCCAACGCTCCTCTGTACATCAAGTTAAGTGAGACAAACATCATTTCTGAGCCTTCCCCAGCATGTTTTGGATACATGTTCAATCTTAGATTTCAAAAGGCAAGAACTCTTTGCTTACCTGGTCCTTTTCTGGTTTATCAGAAATGTCATTCAGACTGGAGGAAGTCAGATTCCTATGGGTCATGGCTGGGCTACCTGGGAAAACACAAATGCATGATAATTAAAAACGCACTCTCCAAAAGACAAAGACTTTGACCGTATATTTCCCAAACCCTGATAGATAACGATGGAGCATGGTGAAGAGGCTTGTGACCACATCAGCCAGAGTCCAGGTTAGAATAGAAACATGATTATATGGAAAGTATGTAAAAATCCCAAAGGCTGCATTTAAGTCTTATTGCCTGGTTCCATTTCAAGATACATTAAGTTTTAAAAGACACTTATAAAACAATAAGCATAAAAATAAATGCACACGTGTTTTGGTTCACTTTTTGCCACTATCATCAATGCCAAAAGCCACCTGCCTTGCATGCTCTGGCTAGCATGTTAATCGAGATTATTTCTCCTTAGTTGTTATTTGATCCAGAATCCCCATTCTTTGCCTCCAAGTCATGTTTCACAGGCTTCCCTACTTCTCTGCATTTCCATTTACCAGACTCACATAAGCATATCCCATTTCCCTCTTTAACAGGCCAAATCTCCTCAAGTTAAAGGGTAAATTAATTGCATCAGGAATATCCCATGGGAACTAATCTCCCTGGCAACACAGAAGCTGCTGGTAAAATCCATTGGCCTTCCATGCAATGATTTCAAGCACTGTTATGCAGGAATAGAGAAGAGGGACATCTAGAAGAGCTGTGTTCATTTTCAAGTGGATTCTTTGAAATCAACAGAATACTCAACTTTCTTTCTGCAGTTGGACCTGGAATTTCAAGGCTTACTAAGCAAAAGAGTAACTTTTTAAAGCCAGGGTGTTTGACCCAACCCCTGAGGGGTGCTGAGTAATGCATTCATCATTAATCCTCAATGATCTGACTCAGGCTGGTCTTCGTGGCTAGAGGACAAGGGTTGAAAAGGAGCACTGGTGTCTGAACACAGCTTCATTTTTGTTTCCAAAGCATTCTTTAGGTTTCTGACTTTAATTCCTTTAGATAGAAACTTCAACACATATTTTTTACAAAAGATTAAAATCTATCCCTAACAAGTTAATGTCTATATAACAGCAGCTATTCAAGTAATACAATGGCCTTTAACTACTAGATCAGATATAACTACTAAATCAGTTTTCTTGAGCTAGCAAGACAGGGTATTTTCCACTCTGCTGCATTTCATTGAGTAAGCATGGCCTAGATCTCTTAAATCCTTTACCTGGTAGGTTGTTTTATTCTAGGAAAATCTGAGCCCAGAGCATTATTTAAGGGAAACTAACATCTGAAAAATTGCTTTATGAGCAGAATATAAAGAACCTCTTTGAAAGTCCCAATTTCTTCCTTAAATTGCACATTAGATTTCTAGTGTTCACTCAATACAAAAGTACCAGATATAAACATGATTGCCCCCAAATAATGCTTACATTGAAAGTAAGAGAAAATAATGAGTAGGTACAATTTTTTTACTTTACATTAAAAATAAAACCAGTTATTTTTGAGTAACTGGGTGGAATGGGTAAAGAAATTTAAAATCTAAAATCCTAAACCACTGAAGCCTAGGAATCTCATCATGACTGTAAGTTCTTATATACAAATACTTAAGACTGGCTCCTAATTATCAAAACAATTGTATGTACTTCTTAGTACTAAAATAATCTGAAAGCAGTTTTTCATTAAGTAATTTAAATGTCCTTGGCAATAGCATTCAAAACTCTTCATAAATACTGAAAAGACAGAATAGTAATTGGGCTCAAAACCTAACTGCTACAAAAACTTGAAGAGGTAGAAGCCAAATGAATAAGAATGTTAGTATAATGGTGATCTTGATAGGTGGGACAAATTTTCCAGAAATGTCATATACTATCTCACCATTTTCCTTCTTTCTAAAAGAGAGTTAAGAGCATGGCAATCTATATGTAGGGGAAGGCAAGAGTCCAAGGAAGATGCAGGAATCAGAAGGGTAGACAGGGCTGATGTAAGGAAATAATTCTATTGCCCCTCCCACTTTTATCTGGTTCTCATCAAAAAAAGTAATTAATATTAACAGCTGATGCTGAACTTTCTAATACACTGTAAGATCCCTGAAGTCAACAGTTCCAGGTAACTACACAGGATAATGAGTATTCTTCAATCTTTTCCCACCTCTCTCCCTAGCAAAAGTCCCACCTCCATTCCCCAACATCTTAAACTAGGACAAGTGCTTTTCAACGCTTTCAACAAGTAGTTCCCAAAGTATAATCCCCAGAACAGCAGCATTTGCATCACCTGGGTACTTGTTAGAAACTCAAATTTATAAGACTTATCCCAGACCAACTCTACCAAAGCTTGGATGTGGGGGTCAGGAATGTAGGTTTTAACAAACCATCCAAGTTACCCATAAGTATGGCAAACATTTAAGTAAACCAGTTATTGTAGGCTGTGTTCCAGTCAGATTCTGAGTTGGACAGAGCATGTGTAAGTTGGAATAGCCAAAGGGGTAATTCTGCCCTCCTCCGAGCTACAGCTCTAAAAACGAGCAAATCATGAAGTTAGCGTCCTTACCACATACACAGACAAAAAGAATCATCGTGGCTCTTACTCTGCATTCTCACCTACACAACCACATAAATAAACACCTAGATTTTGGAAACTCACTGTGTAATAAGCCTTTTCCAGAAACATATTAACTAAATCAAAGAAGACAGAACAAGAGCCAAACAAGATTACAAACTGGATTATATGTGGGAATCAGAAATCTATGTGTGTGATTTTAGCAAACCTGGGAAGCTATTATACAACAAGCCGCTAACAATGGCCTATTATGAATATTTTGCCCCAAATAGGCATTAAGACACATTGTCAGAGTAAACCAGTGTTTCTTAGTTAGAGTTCTAACTTATGATATAATAGTGAGATGACTACCAGAAAATGTGCCTTGTACCAAGAAGGTGAAATATAAAGATGCCCTACAGTATGTTACTTCCTGGGGAAGTGGTAGTTTCTGCTATTAGTAGTCCCTTCCCATCTAAAGTCTAGGGCATAAACATGTCTTATGATAGCTTATAGTCCAAAAAAATAAAAAATAAAGTCTTATTTGAAAGAAACAGAGAGAGAGGAAGAAAGAAACGAACCAGTCTCAAATGCATAAACATAGTATATCACTGTTTTCTGGCCAAAAAAAAAAAAAAAACCTGTGGAGAACCATATTTTCAAGCAGTTTCACACAATCAAAAATGATTTCATTTTCAAAGTACCCACTTGGCAAGTACAAACTGTTTCTGTAAAAATTAATTAAATTCTGTACTAAATTTGAAAATCATCTTTATTCTTTAGCACACATGTGGCAATTCACAAAGAAAGTCTTTTGCAATTATATCTACTAGATACCATGAAAAGAAGAGAGGAGAAAACGCAGCACAGGAAGAGGATGATATGCAAATGTGTACTTATTAGAGAAAAATGTAAACATGTATGTAACAGAATGCACGTAAACTTCCTTCTAAGCTCATGCCTCCATAATGAGCCAACAGAGAACTTGGGGATAAGCTAAAACAATGATCACATGATCTATAAAATAAACTGCATTTTTATTCTCAGGAATAAATACGGAACGTTGTAGCATTAAAAGCAAAGATAACTTACATATCACAGACATAAATAAATCGGGTGTTAGAGAAAATTCAGCAGTATGGGTTAATGGTTTCAGTACTGGAGACTGCAAAGCTAACATTGCAATTTCAGAATAATGCATGTTAATCTGTTCTGTACCCTGACAGACTTAGTGATGGTCTCCTCCAGTCCATGTCAACACAGCAAACCTACCAGAACATGTCTACATACAAGATGAAGGCCAACCCTAATCTTTTTTATTAGGAACTTCAACTTGCATTACCTTATTTAATCCTCATGTCAACACTGTGAAATTAACATTATTGTTGTTACCATTTTATGGATAAGAAATGAACTTCAGTTAAGTTCATGGTCACACAGCAAGTGACAAAACCAAAATTTAAATCTGGATCTTGGTTTAAGTTTTTTGTTGTTGTTGTTGTTGTTGTTGTATGTATTCATTTGAAACACAGAGAGAGAGAGAGAGAGAGAGAGAGAGATTGATCTTTCATCTGCTAGTTCATTTTCCAAATACCTACAACATCCAGGGCTAGGCCAGGCCAAAGCCAAGAGCCAGGAGCCAAGAACTTCATCTGGATCTACCAGATAGGTGGCAGGGACACTAGGATTTGGCCATCATCTGTTGCTTCCCAGTATGCATTAGCAGGAAGTTGGATTCAAAGTAAAGTAGCCAAGACCTGAACTGGTTGTCCAAAATGGGATGCTAGGGTCACAAGATGTGGCTTAACCTACATGTCACAATGCTGCCTCCACCAAGATCTCTTAATATTAACTGCAATGCCTCTGAGAAGAAAACTGGTCTCTCTATGTTCAAAACACATAAACTACATCATGTCTAGTGATGAGAAAATTAGCAGCCAACCACAAGAAATCTATTTCCAAGCCAACTACCCGCAGTGTAACATTTTTAAGAATGTTTAAGGCAGATATGGTCATGGTTTCCAACTTAGTTGTTCTCAAAGATAGAGTTTGTATTTCTTTGCTTTTTTATTTTCATAAAGAAGAGAAAAAATACTGAATGTTGTCTATTTGCCACTGTTATTAAGTAGCAGCCCCAAACCACAGCTCTGCAAGAACGGATGCTATAAGCAGCAGCAATATCATTATTAATGAATAGCGCTACTTGCTTCTGAACATCCCAACTCATAGTCACAGCCAAGTGCCTATAAAATTTCACAATGTACATACACAGCTAAGTCTCCATTATTTCCATATTGGTTTTCCACATTTTGAGTTAGTTATTCCAACTGCAAGGTATTCTCATTTCAACCACTAAAGACAGGAATTTAATGAGACAAAGATAATAAATAACCTGGCTTAGTAAGTTTGAGGATGTCTGGAAGGAATGGCTGAAAAAAAAGCTTGAATTTTGTCACATCAGATTCCTAAGTGTCCATGGCAACATGTTATCAACAGCTAATTCTGCCCAAAATAATC